TTTTTTTTTTTTTTTTTTTGCAGTACTGAGGATTGAACCTAGGGCCTTTGGATTGAGGCACATCACCAGCCCTTTTTCGCATTTTTTATTCTGAGTCTCACTAAGTCACTAATTTGCCCAGGCTGAGCTTAAACTTGCCAACCTTCTGCCTCAGCCTCCCAGGGTGCTGGGATGACAGGCCTCTGCCACCAAGTCTGAGTGCTTAGCTGTTTCTTTGCTCCTTCATAGCCCTACTTGCAATTCATCTATTTGGTCCTTTGTGGTCACTGGAAAGCCAGCTCATGCTTGGCTCCACCTGTCACTCCCCTGTGACTTCTGGATCTCACCCAAGCTCCAGCCTGACACCCCAGCAAGCTCAGTGAGTCTGTACCTCAGCCTCTCCGTCCTCCCTCCAGTACCTGGCCCAGCCCTCCCCACCCTGGCCTCAGAACTGTGAGGTAGACCCGCCATGTGCCTCCTCCTCCTTTGCAACATCTTGAGAGTCAGCCCTCTTTTTCCATCCCAGAGAAGAGTACCAGAGCTTGACCTGGTGGATACTCTACCAGGAGCCAGCCTGTGACCCTGGCCAGGTCATTTTTATCTCACAGCCTAGTGCTCTCTTCTGATAAAAGGTGAGTACATGACCCCAAAGACACTTCCAACATCCACGCCCTGAAACATAGGGTGACACATTGCAGATGACTGCCATTCTAAGTGTGTTTCAGGGTGGAGCAACCTGCCCTCTCCTTCCTGTCCCTCTCCAGGCTCTGCTAGCTGAATTCAGGAGCCCCATGTCCTTTCCAGATTCCTCTCCTGCCTAACTCCTCCCTTCTTTCGGGAAGGGTGAGCACAGAATTCATCACACAAACATGGATCTGTTTGCCAGTAAAGGCACTGCCATTAAACATGCAGCTAGGATGACAGGCACAAGCCATGGCTGTCCCAGACAGACCAGGCATTCAGCCTCTTGGTCCAAAATCCTTCCCTCTATTAAATAGCTCTACTTTGTCTGTCAGGCTTCTCTCTCAAGGATTGATGCAGACTCTTTGGCCCCTACTCGGGATTGTTACCTCTGAAAAATCCACCTCCTTTTTAGGATGGCACTTGTTGGGAAGATTGGTTTCTTGGTGCCAATCTGTACTTGGACCATCAATTTCTATACTGAATAGAAATGATTGCAACTCCTTATCTTGTTCTTACACATCTAGGAATTTCTTACACATCTGGCAGCAGCTGCTTCCGATTTGGGTAGGAGACAGCAGCCCCAGCCAGGGTCCTCAGTGGTACTAAAACTTCCTTTGGCCATCACTTCCTGCAGGGCCACTCTATCTCCCTTGTGTTAGCTGGAGAAGTGAGTAGGATTCTGAGGACAGTAGCCCTTCCTTGTAAGCACTGCTCTCTTAGGTCAGGAGACAGGTGCCAGTGTCGAGGGGGCTTTGGCCCAGAGTTATCCCTGGAGCAGTACAGCAGAACACCATTGGCTTGGAGCAAGGCTTCCCCACCCCAGCAACCCTGAGTGAGGCCCCAGAATAATCCCTGCACCACAGCCCCACAGTTGGCTCTGCTCAGCCCAGCCCCGCTGCCAAGGCCTCTGCCCAGAGTCTCCTGAGAGAGTGAAGTGAGGCCTTCCTGTCCATGGGATCTGCTAAACCATGCTGGCTGTAGGAAACAGTAATGGAAACCAAGCTACCTGTGAAAAGAAGTACATAAGCAAACAAGCAGCCAGGGGGCTGGTTTATCACTATGCCTAGCATCTTGCTCCCCAAACTGCAAGCCTCAGGCAGGGGCAGGGCCACTGAGAAACACCAACACTGCTCCAGCTTTATCTTTGGGTCTTTGGCTGAGAAGGGTCTGCCTGGTGGCCTGAGACACGCAGGCATTTCCACATCTGCTGTCTCCCAAGTGGTTTATGCAGGGCCTGCTGGAGTTGGTGGGCACAGTTGGCAGGATCTGCAGCCC